ACCAAAACAGATACCAACTGGTCTATTAGTGTAAAATATAACTGATTAAGTAATTATAATTAATATCGTTTATTTCATTTGTTCATTATATAAACAATAAATGCAATGTACAGGGTGTCCCACTAAGGTCGGCGAGGAACGATATTAGGGAAAGTAGAGCTTAGGGAATTTTTTTGTGCTGAATTCGTTTATGTAAAGAAAACTATAGCATTGCATTTAAAATTTTTAAGAACAATCCATAAAACGGCATTCTTTTGACGCCATCTATAGGTTTCCATATTAAGGTCAATGACATTACATATTTACCACAAGATAAAGCATGAAAAGACCATTCCAACGAGAGGTATACCACTATGGGCATTTGATAAGCCCCTACCCTTTCTGTCGAGAGATAGAACAAATTGTCATTACAAAAGTTATGCGCTATCCATATTTGTACTATTTAATATCCCTGAATAGGAAACATTTCTGAGAAAAATTCAACTATATGTTTTGGTATGTAGATTGCACCCCCTAGCGGCCGAGCTACGAACTTGAAAAATATTTCCAGCGATTTATCTTGGTCGATTTATTAAACATCATTTTTTCCCGAAGCTTTAGGACGTATACTGTCCCTAATATCGTACCTCGTCGACCTTAGTGGGACACACAGTCCCACAGTAATATTTTTTTTATAACAGATGACAAGTATGCAGTGAAACTATTTTTTTGTGTATAGATTTGAGTTATAAGTAGCTAAAATTTAAAAGTTACAAAAAAATATTATCAATAGGACATCGTCAAGTTACTATAAAGCATGTCCCATTTTAATCGATCACCCCGAATAATTTTACAGGATGACCTCAAATTGAAAAACCAGAACAAAAGTTGTAAAGTTTTAAGGGTACGATAATGACCTTGACTTTGATCATGGGTCGGATTGACCTCTAGGGCCCTCTGAAGGTCAAATCAGCTATCCGACTGCGATGTTTACATGTTAGGGCAAAGGTTGAATTTTTAGGGCAAGTTCCGTACAAACTGTCTAATTGTAACTCTGACCTTGGTCCTGGGGTCACATAAAAATGTTTCATACAAAAGTTACGTATTTTTTCCCGCAGAATACGAATCTCCAATAAAAAATATGTTTCCATTTAAAAAAATCAAAGTTGATCTTGAAATAACCGTGATAAATGACTTCAAGGTCAAATTTGACCACCTCGAAACCTGATAACTTTTGTTCGAAATAATTTTTTTATAAAAGTCGAATTAAAAAAATTATGCGGCTGTTACATTAAAATGGAACACTTTGTATAATTTCTTTCTTTCTATTTCATATAAAAGGTTAGAGTTTGTCCTGTTTATCATAGTCGTAAATGTCAGGGTAAAATCAGCAGTTCTCAACAAGTATTCTGCTAAAAAATCAGGGATATTTACTTTAAATTTGACATTTTTATTCCTAATTTTTTTTGCAAAAACAATAAAATAAATGTACGCATTTACGATTCCCCTTGTATAATCCAAGTTTTGCACTAACCTAATTTTAAATACATAATAGCAATAATATGCAGTACCATATCGCATTACCATTTTGGTATACAGTGTAAATATTTTGTCAACTGCTTGCAGCTTAAGATAGAATTAAATTTGTTATTGTTAAGAATATTACTCACATACTTACGCACAAAACTTCATGCCAGTGCTTTCTTAATTTGCTTATATAATATTTAGAAATGAAAGTTTAAACCTGCATTTAGAAAAAAAGAAGTCTAAAAACAAATGTTTTGTAAACAAAAATTCTTATATTCGATCGTGGAATATGCTCAATTTCTAGCAATTTCTATTATGAATGCCTCAATGTATGTAAATAAAATACAGTGTGTTAAAAAAGATGTAAAAATTTTGTTACATTTTTACATTTTTTTCTAAAACTTGTAAAAAATGCAATTTGCTACTTTTGAACCGTATTCTTTTACTAAGATTTTTGTCCTGTTGGGTTTCGTAAATTTTTTTCAACAAAAGTATAGAAAAATTAAAAGACTACTTTCCGTCGAGCTCAAATTATAAAGAAAAGCAAATTATGTTACCTTTTACCGGAGAATTAAATTTATATTAAAAACGCTGTGGAGATGAAGCCCACGTGAAATGTTTCTGAAAAAACCTCAAAGGCGTTTGCTTTTGTACTGAAATAGGGTGTGTGGGTAAGTGTTTTATTTTTATAATTAATTCTTCTATGTATAAAAAGTTCAACTTGTCGACATACTTATTCGAACATTATTCGGTTTTATTTTGTTTTCAAAGTTAGTCTAATATCGGAGTCAGTTTAATATTTTACAAATAGGTAATTAGTTAAAAACACAGGTAACTTCCTGTTTAGCAATCTCGAATAATAGAGACAGAAAATTTACGGTGTAATATAAACATAAAAAACATAAAGCAGAAATACCACTAAATAGAGACGTACAGCAAATGGTCCATAAATTTAACTTGCATTTCATACACCGTTAATTTCAGCGTAGAGTTTTTCATGTGAAATTTAAAACCGGAACTGATATGTATGTAGTATAACAGCCATGTTATACGTAGCCACTTCGCAAAGAAATGTAAACAAAAGTTACTGCCTGCTGAAAAGTAATAAAAATAGCAAAAGTTAAATATTTGGATACACAGTTTGCCTAAGTTTTAAATCATAACTAGTAGACCAGGGCGGATCTGTTTTGAGGTGGATGTGAGAGGGGGCAACATTTTCAAATTTGCGAAAATATATGAAAAATTAAAAAAAAATGCCTATTTTATCCGAGTTGTCTACTTATGTCTTGGAACCTATGCAGTTTGGAAGAATATTGAAGAGGAAAAAAGTTTTAGAATTGAATTTTGCACAATGTACTGTAAGTTAAAAATGTTTAAATTTTTTACCGATGTTGCAAAATAGCAATAATTAATGAAAAAAGGCAAAATAATCAAGTTTTTTTGGATAATTTTTTTTAAATATTTTAATTACTTCGAGGGCATTCTAACTTTAGTAAAAAAAACTTTAGAGTATAATAAAACAACAAACCGAATTAAAATCGGTTATATAGTTTTCGCGAAATAATTTTTTGAAAAAAATTTGGAAAAATTTTTTTGAATTTTCAAAATGTTGCACAGCCTCAAATAAAGCATCTAGATACTTGATCACATAGAAAAGACCGCTCAACTTTTCAAATGTTTTTTGAAAAATTGAAATCGGTTGATTAAGACTGCCACAGTAAAAAGTGAACAATTTTATTCACTTTTTTACATCCATTAGAATAATTTATACACAAGTACTCCCATACATTATCAATTATTTTCAGAAGTAATCATCCCTCTGAAGGGGTAAAGTCATCTCACAAATATACAAAAATTGTAAATAATGTGAAAAAATATTATTTTGATAACAACACAGAAATATTTGGGGTTTTACAACTGTTAATGATTCTTAATTTGTTCACTTTGTCGTCTTTTCAACCCCTAAATAAGGATGATTTTCGAAAAAACGAAAGTGATGTTCATTTTCATTTTTCATGACGAGTTTTTGGATATTTTTAAAATATTTTTAGGATTTTTCCTGTCGCCTCTGTCAAATTCTCAAAAACAGGCGGATTTTGCGGCTTCTCTTTTTAAAGTTAACATATATTTTTTAAACAATTAGATTACAATCAACTTGAAATTTATTTTTTTTCAAAAATTATAATTTTAAAGTACTATTTTTTCTTAATTTTATCTGTATTTAACAAAAAAAATAATTTCCAAATAAAAAAACAAAATTTTTTAATTTGTTTAAGCAAACATTATTTAAATAATTGTAATAATTATAACTACATATATTCATATTCAGAGTGTTGAAATATATACGTAAACAAATTTATTCATTTAAAAAATGTAATAGCATAGGGTAAAATAGACAGTATGCTAAATGCATAAAAAATAAACTTTGTTTATAACAAAATATGTGTAAATTAGACAGTTGGCATTGCGGTATTCAAATTCCTTGGCTCGCGAGACATCGGATTAAAAAAAAGATCGAAATTGGTCCATTAGAAGCCGAGATAATGCAATTTTGTTCGTAGCTTTGCATTTTGAGCGAAAGCCCCCTCCTCACTTTTCGCGCGTGAGAGCGAGAGCTTTTCCGATGATTTATCTATGTTGCCAATAACTAATGGATATGAAAATTTTTTCCAGCTTAAAACTCAGAAAAACGACGCAACTGGATCAAAGATCAAATTGTTTATAAATTAACGGTAAATGCCGATAAACTTTGACCGCTTATATCTCGAGAAAAAATAAACGGAATTTAACTTTTTTGTTTTAAAGCGTCTTTCCGAGTACTTTAAAATTATAATTTTTGAAAAAACTAAATTGCAAATTGATAAATGTAATCTAATTGTTTAAAAATAAAAGTGTTAACTTTAAAAATTTACTATGGCCGTCCTAATCAATCGATTTCAATTTTCCAAAAACCATTTGAAAGGTTGTGCTGTCTTTTCTATGTAAAAAAATTTTCAAGTATCTAGATGCTTTACTTGAGGCTGTGCCACATTTTGAAAATTCGGAATTTTTTTTTCCAAATTTTTTCAAATAATTATTTCGCGAAAACTATAGAATATATTTTTAATGAAATTTGGTGTATTATTTTATTATACTCTAAAGTTTGTTTTACCGAAATTAGAATACCCTCGGAGCAATTAAAATATTTTAAAAGAATTATCCAAAAAACTTGATTATTTTGCCTTTTTTCATCAATTATTGCTATTTTGCAAAATCCGTAATAAATTTAAACATTTTTAACCTACAGTGCAAAATTCAATTCTAAAACTTTTTTTCCTCTTCAATATTCTTCCAAAATATGCATATTCCAAGATATAAGTACAAAACTCATATAAAATAGGTATTTTTTTAAATTTTTTAACATTTTTGCAATTTTGAAAATGTTCCGGACCTCACCCAGAAGGTATTCCAGCAAAAATTCTTCTTCATTCATCTAGTGGTTGGTCCTTTAAAAGTCCCATAGCACTGCGGCCTAATTTGGCCTATTGTGCGTGCCACTACTAGTCCTATTCAGCAAGTAGATTTGTCCTTTTTACAAAGTCCAAAAGCTTCCTTGCTGACACTTCTCTCCGTTCCTTGGGTTCCAAATAGGGTCTCCCAAGGAGCGCCATTCTGCTACGTGCAAATCCCGGGCACTCGCCCAGGATATGCAGAGAAGTTTCATCCGCCGATTCACATCCTCGGCAGACCGGACTGTCTACAAGCTTTAGCTTATGTAGATGTTTCCTAAAGTGACAGTGTCCCGTTATGAGTCCTGTCACTCTCCTGAGCCGGATTCTATTCAAGCTCAGTAGCTCATTCGCTCTTCCCTTCGAAGGATACTCCATAAGCTCCTTAGAATGGCTATGTCCTGGCCTTGAAGTCCAGTATTTCCTATGTTCTGTCTCTGTCCATTTGCCCAGAGCCCGCCTGACCACACTGGGAGATGTGCCACAGAAGGGCTCCGGGCCAATGAACACTGTCTCGGATCCCTTCCTCGCAAGTTCATCCGCTTTCTCATTTCCACAAATGCCTTTGTGCCCTGGCACCCAACACAGTCTGACTGTATTGTTGGTGGCCAGTTCAGTCAGCATTTGTAAACAGTCCCACACCAGTTTTGAACTTACCTTGTGTGCGGCTAAAGCTTTAATTGCAGCTTGACTATCAGAGAATATATATATGAGTTTACGTCTATAACCTCTACGTACATTCTCTGCCAGACACGCCATTATCGCGAAGATTTCTGCTTGGAATACAGTAGGGAACTCCCCCAGACTGTAGCTTGCACTCCATCTGGGTCTGAGTCCATATATTCCTGCACCCGTCCCTCTGGTCATTTTGGAGCCATCTGTAAACCATACTAGGCTCCACCTTTCCAGGGTATTAAACCTTTCCTCCCACTCGCTTTGATCCTCTATTCGAGTCTCAAATGGCTTGTGGAAGTGAAACTTTGGAACCATCTTGTCGGATACCATCCCAAGAATTGGTTCCGACATAGATGTATCTTTGATCCTGGAGTGGGAACCACCCCTCCAGTCATTATTATTCCTGAGTCGATATGCTGCTAGCCGCGCTTCTCTCTCCACCACTATATGCAGCGGTGGCAGATTTAGCATGACTTCTAGTGCAGCTGTCGGGGTCGATGCCATCGCCCCCGTTATACCTAAACAGGCCAATCTCTGAATTCTATTCAGTTTTTCCTTCGCTGTGGTCTGTTGTGTTTTCTGCCACCATACCACCGCGCCGTAAAGAATCCTGGGTCTTACTATCGACGTATACAACCAGTGTGACATCTTTGGTTTCAGTCCCCAGGTTTTCCCAATAAGGCGGCGGCATACACACAATGTCTGCTTCGCCTTACTCACCACTTTTTCCAAGTGCGCATTCCAGGTAAGCTTATTATCCAGTATCACTCCTAGATATTTTACTTCCCTGGAAAGTGTAATGCCCCTCTCCCCTATTATAGGTTCAGAGAGTCCAGTTAAATTTCTTCTCCTGGTGAAGGGTACTACGACCGTTTTGTCAGGGTTTACTGATAGTGCCTGCCCCTTACACCAGTCATCTATCCATTTCAAAGCCTCTTTCATGAGTTCTGAAACGATAATATTATGTTTCCCGACTATGAGAACGACCAAGTCGTCCGCATAGCCTTGTATATAAAATCCCTTTCGATTAAGACCCTCCAGTGCGCCGTCCATCACTAATCCCCATAACAGGGGAGACAGTACGCCTCCCTGGGGGCAGCCACGGCCTACCTTACACCTGGATGTCTCTCCCGAAAGGGTAGCTGTTACTGTCCGGTTTCTCAACATGGTATCTCTCCAACGACATAAAGTGTCATCAAGGCCCCTGTTGCGAACTGCCGAATTAATAGATTCGAAAGGTGTATTATCAAATGCCCCTTCAATATCTATAAAAGCTGCCAAAGCTAGATCTTTGTCGTCCATCGCCCTCCCTATCCTAGAGACTAGGCCATGAAGGGCTGTGTTGACTGATCTGCCTGCCTAATAGGCGTATTGCCCCCTCTTACATCCAAGAAGTGGGATATATCGACAGATCCGCCCTGGTCTATAAAAAAAAACGTTCATCAAACTAAAACAAGCATTTAAATGTACTAAACGTTCAGAACTTTTTAAATTTATTTTAAACAACCTGTATTTTTACAAACTGCACAACTTGTCAGGATACGAAACTATAACTAACTCTCCAAATGTTATTTTCCAATCTTTCACCCGCTATCTACTTCTTCCTCTTTGTATTTGTATGATAATAAACAGAATAAACACACACTCTTTAGTTACGCATCTTCTGTATAGGTATATTCAATGTGGATGACCAAGTATGATGCACCGACAAATAAATAGCATACATTTCAAAAGCGTAATGAAATTTATTGCTATTTATTTGTACCCAAAAAGTCAACTTTACCTGAAAACGATACAATCTTCTATAGGAATTGTGTTTAGAAATGTGAGGATTACGTTTTTACGGAAAAGTTGCCTTTTGCCCCCCGTACATACCCCACAGCGACAATTTTGTGATTTTACAGGGAGATAGGGTACTTCTACAAACCCGTGGAAACGGACTATATATGCAGCAGAAGCAACTACTCCGGGATGCACTTCTGCACGGATTTGCCGCCGTTCAAAAACGGATCTCACTTCTGTAACCTCACCGTTGAAGAGAAAAGGCTGCCGCAATACGCCAACAATGATTCCTTCTGCATTAATTGGAATGCTTACTATTCCAGCTGTTCCGACAAAAACCAGAACCCCTTTCAGGACACCATATCATTCGACAATATAGGGCTGGCGTGGATTGCCATCTTTCTGGTAAGTTTCTTTTCTATCAGTCGACCTCGCCTTCGGGATTAAAAAGTGCTCTTAAATGTAAAGGCAGACGAATATATTTAAATGCACCTTCACTTTAAATCGTCGTCTTGATATAAACTCATCTTACCCCCCACTTCAAAACGTATATATGCGCTAGGTGTGCTTTTTGTTTTTAAAGGGTGAAAACCACCCCTTATTGGAAAAAAAAGAAAAAATACAAATTTAAGCATTTTATGTAATCAAATCTTTTTTATTTATGCAATATGAGCAATTTCATATGCTATCTAACATGAAACTTAATGTATCCCAAATTTTCAACCCGGAAAAACCTTTAAAAACCACCCCTTTGGATGAAAATAATATAAAATTTTTTTTTCAACTTGAAACGTTTTAATCATGCATTTTTATCAAATTAAAATTGATTTCTTAATTAAAAAATCTTTTTTATCGATTGCAACTTTTCAACCCTTGAAAAATACCCCTTCTTTTGAAAATAAAATGAAAAAATATTATTGAAAGAGTAGAAACATTTTAAATGTGCATTCGTATTAAATAAACATTTATTCCCTTATAAAATAATTTTGACTTGATTGCACCTTTTCAACCCATAAAAATTACCCCTTACATTTATATATATACATAAAAAAAAACATTATAATTATATGTAAATGATTATTCGTCGTCACTGCTATTCTCTTCACAATCATGCTCGTCCTCTTCGATGATTGGAGGAGAATTTAGGCAGTTGTCGCCGGAGTATGTTCCACATGTCGAATTACGTATATCCACGTGTCGAAATACGTACATAAACAAAAAAGATCTAAATGCTTCAAAATTCTTGTTTGACCTAAATTTTCCTAAAATTATCACCTATACACCTGTTTATTTTTTTGACGACAACTTTCTTACTTTTTAAGAGTTTTAATCGCATAAAGGCTCATTTTGCAGGGAATTGTAAGGGCTACGTGAACTGATGCGTTGATCTTTTTAAGCCCTTCATTTTTAAGTTTGAAGGGTTTAAAGGGCTCGAAAAAGGTGGTTCTCTCATTCATATGATAACTTAAAATGGCTCTCTTGTATTTTTTTCGTACACCCTTTAATTTTAAAGTTACAGCGTAAAAATCGAATTTTTTAAAAATTTTGAAAAATTAACATTTTCAAAAATTAAGTTTTTTTCGAAATCATGCTTTGTAAGCGAGCCAAAGACCCAGAACATATCCTTAGAACATAAATGAAGAAATCTGTAAATGGATTACAATTAATTTTAATTATGTCGCCAAAGACATTGATTTGTTTATTAATTTTTTCATAAAAAATATGTCATGTTATTTCGATCATATTTTCGTTAATTTTGATTCTAAAGACTAAAACAGCTAATTTTAAAGGTTTTTCAAAGTACTTTAAAAAAGGTTCAAATAGTTTTTTCCTAATATTTATGGTTTTGGCGTTATTTAACGTTAACTGGTTCCAATTTAGTTTTTAGCTAACAAATAAATAATGTTTAAAAATCCATCTCGGTTTATATTGCAATTATTTCCACAAAATGCCATTAGATTTGTTTTTTATTGCCTTTCTTTTTGTTCATTACAACTTTTTCGTTAAATCCAATAGTTTCAGAGTTATTTGCAAAAAACTGTCCGAAAACAAGCACTTTTTCAGTAAAAAATCAACATTTTCAATGACGAATTACTCGGAAAGTATTGGATTATCCAAAAAACTTTATATGACATTTGTTACTTAAAATTGACTCCTCTATCGATTCCTGTGGTTATTTTGGGCTTAAAAATTTCCACCCCCAAGAAGGGGTGGGAACCAACTCCAGGGCAAAAGGACATTTCGGCACTATATAAGTTTTGTTCCTTGAAGCATTCCCCACATGCAATCAAAATTTCACGTCAATCGGTTCAGTTATAAAGAATTCGGAGGTAAAAACCCTGAGTAACTGGACTATTTAGAGACTAAAGTGTCCTTTAATCATTAAAGTACTCATATAACACCTCAGAATAAAAATGCACTTTAGTTCTCTCTGCAATACTGTTTAATTTCTGGAACCATTAAATGAACACTCGAAGCACATTTTTAAACGTACTTTAAATCATCGCTATAGTCACTCTAAATAAATTTTAGCTCAGTGCAAATTGTGCACACATTACAAGACTAAAGTGTATTTTAACCATTAAAATGCTCATATAAATCCTCGGAATAAAAATGTACTCTAATTCCCTCTGCAATACTGTTTAATTTCTGGACAAGAGCAATCTAAATAAATTTTAGCTCAATGCAAAAAGATAACATCTATAGAACAAGACTAAAGTGGTTTTTAATGCTTTAGTTAGGTAATTGGTAACTTCACCATCTTAATTAAAAAATATACTTTAGTCCTGAGGTATATAATATATATAAGTAGGACTAAAATAATTTGATATTGTGAGATTAAAAAATGCACTTTAGTACTCTTGAGTACGTATATTCTGAATAATTAAATGTAAATTCAATTAAATACGAAACATATTTTAAACCTTTACTGTAACAATTTTGCATATATTTTTGTTTAGTGTAAAAAATACTACACAAATTACAAGACTAAAGTGTCCTTAAAGTGCTCATATAACACTTCAGAATAAAAATGCACTTTAGTTTTTTTATGCAGAACTGTTTAATTTCTGGAGCCATTAAATGCAAACTCGAAAAACACCCTAAATAAATTTTAGCTCAGTGCAAAAATATGGTATGTGTACCACAAAACCAAAACAGCCTTGGTAATTGTTCGAACTTCACCATCATAATTAAAAAATATATTTTAGTCCTGCAGTACACAATATAAAGTAGGACTAAAATGTGAATTTAATATTGTAAGATTAAAGAATGCACTATAGTCCTTTGGTGGGCCTATAATACAGTATCCAATTTCAGGATTAAATAGATTTGTAAATACTCGCCTACCTTTGGGTAGGCGAATATTTACAAACACATTTTACGCCTGTATTATAGTTTTTTTAGACAGATTTTAGTTCAATACAAAAATTGTGCACATACCTCAAACTAAAGTGTCCCCAGGTGATTGTTCGAACATTTCTATTTATGATTAAAAAACTGAGTTTAGCTCTTACAGATACAATATATCAATATAACATCAGATTTAAATTTCTCGACAAAAAATGCACTTTAGTTCTCGGAATATACTATCTAACTTTTTTCAATTAAAAACAAAAGAATCTTTACAAATGTCCTTTAAATCGTTGCCATAGTAATTTTATAAATTTTAGTTTATTGCATAAATAAGATATATGCCATTGAACTAAGTGTTCTTAGGTGATTGTTTTCACCATTAGTATTAAAAAGCTCACTTTAATATTGAAGTATAGTCGTATATTATGGACTGAAATGTGAATTTAATACTGTAAAGTTAAAAAAATATGCACTATAGTCCCTTAGTATACTGTTTTATTTTTGGAGGATAAATGCAAAAGCAGACGAACGTTTACAAATACGTCTTAAAACTTCGTAATAATAATTTTACGAGTATACACATACTTTCTTCCAGTGTAAAAATACCAAGACTAAAATGTTCTTTGATTATTTGGTGACCATTCAAACATGTCTCTTAGGATAAAGTAGGATTAAAGATCTCATGTAATAAATCGGAATAAAAATGCACTTTGGCTTTCGAAATACTTATAATATACTAGGTATTTAATTTTTGAGGAATTAAACTAAAAACAGGAGAATATTTACAAATGCATTTTAAACTGCTGCCATAATCATTTTACATAGATTTTAATTGCCGATGATTGTTTAGAATAGTGCACAAGAGACACTAAACTGTCTATAGTAAAGTGTATTTTATTCTGAACTAATTATTAATATAATATAAGACTCATTTGACATTTCGAGATTAAAAAATACGCTTTGGTCTCTTGGGCACAAGGACATGATATTAAAATTAAAACACATGCCGCAGATTTTTATACATTTTGCCTGAACAACCCCTTCCGACTGATGGAATGTCCTAGCTTGAACGACATGAACTCAACTGAAGTACATTCTGTTCATGAAAACCCCACATTTGTCGCGATCTCCACTGTTAATTACTAACCGTGATGAAAAATTCCGATACCCTTGTTTTTTTTAATAACTTCCCCAATGAATTATTCAATCCACTAGATCACCATGTTATCGGGTTCGCCTGTCATGTTTATATTGCGTATCATTCCTGTACCAGCTATTGGAATGTCACATGTCGCATAAATGATTTCCAATGGCTTCCTTTTTACTGTCGTATATATTTATGTTCGAGTGGATAATGTCGAGCTTTTTCCCAGAAGTATAAAGTCGAAGGTTCGATTAAGTTTTCTTGTCTTGTATGATGACAAATATCCACATGCAGTTTTATCTCCAGATACTTATTGGATAGATATGCCGGAAACGTTGAACAACTCTGTTGTACAAGCAATTACTTATTCGACGTAGATACACTCAGGGTGATACACTTTTTATGATTAGGACTTTAACCATCGATAGATCTCGTCAAAATAATTTCAGTTTGAAGTATACACTTTTTCTTCCAAAGGCTTCCTTTTAGAGATATAAGCTCTTTTTTCTTTCTATTTATTTTGTCTTAAACTATGAAAGCCATTTCAAAATGATATTATTTTGACGAGATCTATCGATGGTTAAAGTCCTAATAATAAAAAATGAATAACCCTATATAAAAGTTTTGTTCGTGCTTTTGTGCAATACAAGGGGTGTTTCGAAAAATTGATACAAATTTCAACGACAGAAACCGTTTTTGATGAATAAGAAAACGTTTATTGGGGCAACAAATATACAGGGTGTAATAAAAATGAACCACCAAACCTGGTATATACTTTTTTATAAAACGAATTGAGGAGATAAAGGACGTCAAAGTTCCCAAAAAACGCCTTTCCTGCATTAAAAAAAATCTGATAAACATTTTCTATTACTTATTCTATTTAGAAGAAAAAAAATATGTTTGATAT